GCCTTGGTTCTTCTCGGCCAGTCTGGTGCCTTCCTTGCACTGTCCCCCTGGCTCAGTCACTCTCTCCCCAGGCCGAGCAGTCTTGCTTCGCTGACCCTGTTTTCTACAGTAGCTTATTCAGGGCCTCCATCTGCTGTAGCAGCTGAGTGGCTTTTGCAGAAATTTGTTTAGCTATCCAGGTGTTCCCCAAGAAGAGACTGTAGGCCTCACCTATCCAGCAACCAGGAAGATTCCCACTGCAGGCAGCCACCTTTTTGGAACAGGAGTTACAAAACTGGGCTAGGCCAGGCCAGACCAGATTCATCCTGCTCTCCCATTGTGTGCTAATTGATTTTACAGCAGTTATTTCCTTTAGAGGGTGTGTGGGATCTGTTCCATAAACATTAGGATGGAGAAGTCTTGGGCTGTGAGATAACTTCAGGGCTTAACAAATCAGTTGTTTAAAACTGAGTGATGAGGTTGAGGAAGACTTTTAATTCTTGCTCCCCTCCTGTCCCTATAGGAGGAACCATTCCAAGTGCCTGGTCCATTGCAAAATGGGTGTCAGCCGATCTGCATCCACCGTCATAGCCTATGCAATGAAGGAATTTGGCTGGCCCCTGGAGAAAGCATATAACTATGTGAAGCAGAAGCGGAGCATCACGAGGCCCAATGCGGGCTTCATGAGGCAGCTGTCTGAGTATGAAGGCATCTTGGATGCAAGGTGGGTATGTGCGTAGAGAGACAGGCTGGCAGACCGAGCTGGCTAAGCTGCCCTCCGTGTCCTGCTCTGCTCCCGCTGGCCTGGCAGCGGCTTCCTCAGCTAGAAGCTGGCCTCTGGGGGCAGTTGGCTTGAGAAAAACAACTATTGTTTGGCTTTGATTAGTGGTTTCCAGAAGGGATCCACTTTGATTTTGTTGGCACACACAGAAAGCTGCCGGAGGGAAGGTGCCTAACTGCTCCTCCAAGGCAGGACCTGGTGTGTGGTGTGGGCCAGAGCTTATCCATTTCCAGAGCGCCTGCTTTGTGCCAGGCCCAGAGGCTGCAGAGGCCACTGGCTGGGTTCTTCCACAGATGAACTGGGCCATCTCCCCCAAGCCCTCATTCTCTCTGTTAAGGATTTGACACCCACCTGAGTATCAAATGCTGTAGACCTGTGGGAAACAGCATGGTGCTCCCTCAAAAAATTAAAAGTAGAATCCCTCTGTGATGCAGAGATTCTGCTTTGCCACGTCTACCCAAAAGACTGGAAAGTCAAGACTCAAAGGGACATTTATACGTCACAGTAGCAGCTGTTGATGGCAGTGTAATCTGCAGCAGCACTAACTAAGGTGGAAGCAGCCCATTGGTTGAATGGATACACAACACAGACTGTGTGAACAGGTGTAGTGCTCAGCCTTCAGAAGAAGGAAGCTGGAATCAGGCGAGAAAGCTCCTACCTGTAGTCAAAGCCATTTGGGGCACTTAAGGTGAGGATTGCCTGAGCCCAGAAGTTCAAGGCCAGCCTGTGACATGTATCAAGAACCCCATCTGCAAAACAAAAAAAGGGAAGGAAAGTTTGATATTTGCCATATATCCTAGTCAAACATTGGAGCCAGCCAGAAAAAGACAAAATACTGTGAGACCTCACCCTTATATGAGGTCCCGCTGGGGAGGGGAGTGTTCATGCCTGATAGGTACGGAGTTTTCATTTCTTGGTAACAGTTACACAATGTTGTGAATGTGTGATACTGCCAGGCTGTGTGCATGTGAAGGTGGACTAGGTGGCAACATTTATTTTATATGAATTTTGATAGGTAGAGAACGGGCAGGAGCGAGCGGGTGGCGCGGATGGAGGAGGCACCGAGGCACAGATGGAATTTTCAGCGGGATACAGATTTATTTCGCACAGGGCACCTTTCCCTCGGGGAAGGGAGAAATGTCAGGGAAAGGAAGGATGTCAGGGAAGGGAAGGATGTCCACCCATGGGTTGTGAGCTGGGACTTTATATATGGGGGCTTTAGGGTGTGGAAGGGGGGAATGTTTGGGGGAGAAATCAGGGAGGGGGAAGCAGGAGAAGCCTGGCTCCATTCAGTCGGCCAGGTGGGATTAGGGTCTGGAAGTGTTTACTTTTTCTCTCTTAAGATAAGAGAAAAGCTTGTTGTGATAAACAGCTTCTAAAATCTCTGGTTATCAGGTAGAATCTGCTTATCTTATCTTTGGAGATCAGAGGAGAGGCAGGCTGCTTCTCAGCAGAGTTTGTTTCCCTTGACTCCAAAGGTCAAGGTGAGGTCCCTGTTGGGGAGGGGGGAAACTGCTGCTGTTTGGAACCCTAACAAATTTAACTGCAGTTTTAGAATTGATAGGACTTTTGTGATAGTGGTTCGTATGAGCAACAGCTTATGTTAAGCCAATAAATGTGGCCGCTAAATCTCAGTCTCCCATCTCAAAACAGTAAAGTTCAGCTTCTCCCCATTTTATGAGGGAGCAAAAGGAGTCAGTGCTGAGAGGTTAACTTGTCCCACATCAGCCAGTGGGTGGCAGGAGGGAGGTGCCCACCCAAATGTGTCAACCTCCACAGGAGGTTGTTGCATGGGGTCCCTCTCAGGGTGGCAGCGGCTCCCCAGAGGTCCCAGGCTGTCTAGGCAGGAGCCAGCATCTGATACTCACCTTCTCCTACTCCTGTCCAGTCTACACAGAAGCAGCTGCCCTAAATGTCTGACTAGTATTGGAGGGAAGCCAGAGGCTAAGTCCTCCAGCTTCTTGACCAAGTTTGGGAAAACAGGAGTGCTCTGGCAGCACTGAACAGCTCCAGAGAACAGCTCCAGTCATTTTCACTGTCACTTAGCCTGGCTGGACAGATCCCCAGCCTGGGGGGGGGGGGGGGGGGGCAGTTAGAGTAAGCACCCTGCTCTCCCTTGTCAGTCACTTGATACCCTCCCTCACTGGAGCCTAGCCAAGGGCCTCCTGGTGGGTCACAGCAGCATGGTGTGAATCCGATTGCCACCAGAATGCAAGGAGCCCAGGGGCCAAACTGGCAGACAGATACTGCGTGAGCCCTCCCTTTGAAGCAGTGCTCCTTAGTTTGTGTCGTGCTGTAGTTGCTTCTCCTTTCACCCCTCAAGCCCTAAGATGGTTTTACTCCAAGGTTCTTAGCTGATGGGTGTGACCTTAGTGTCAGTTTAAAGTTTTCTGTTTTCTTAAACTTTAAAAAACATGATGAAAAGAATGTGGGGCTGGAGAGGTGGCTCAGTGATTAAGAGCACTGGCTGCTCTTGCAGAGGACCCAGGTTTAGTTTCCAGCACCCACATGGCAGCTAACAGCCATCTATAGCTCCAGTTCCAGGGGATGTCATGCCCTCTTCTGGCCTCTGCAGGCATTGCACACATCGATGTTCTTACATCCATGCAAGCAAAACACTTACATAAAATAAAAGAAGACATGAAGTTGGAAGGAAGTGGGGGTGGATCCAGGAGAGTTGTAGGGAGGAGTATAGGGCAAATAAGATCAAAGGACATCATATGAACTTCTCAAAAAATTAATAAAAATATTTTTCATACCCTAAGACTGGGAATAAAACCCTAAGGGGTAGAGTGCTTGCCTATCATGCAGAAGGCTACCAGCTCTATCCCCAACATAAATAAATAAATAAATATATATATATATATATAATATATCTATCTCAGAAGAAACCATTCAAGCCAGGCAGGATGGCACATGCTTGTAATCCCAGCAGTTGGAAGGCAGAGGCAGAAGAATCAGGAATTCAAGGCTAGCTTTGACTATATAATGAGTCTGAGGCCAGCTTGGGCTGCTTAAGACCTTGTCTTCAAAAAAGAAGATGAAGAAGAAGATATTGTTTAAAATTGACCTGAATCTTTCTGCCTTAAACAACTGCTTAGCTGTTTTCTGGGACCTTCTCTACACAGTCATGTTTGCAAGAGAACCTTGGTAAGTAGAGAACTTGCCTACTCCCTGGGCCACATAATCTGAGCTAGAGTCATCGGTGACCTGACTAGATTCACGGTAAGAAGAATCCTTCCACAAACAGGGAAGTAGATTACCAGTCAAGACTGCCTCACCCTCTGCCACATCGCCACTACATGCAGGCTGTGGCGATTGAGGGTCCTCATGTTATGTTTCTTCTCATCCCTGTGTGTCCTGAGAGTGAGCAAGAGAAACTCTGCCTGCAGAGCCCACTGACACAGGCTGTGCTTTACTTCCCTGCCCTCCTTGCCAAGACCCCCAGGCATTCCCCTCTCAGCTCACTCTCTGCTGTTCTCCCCACAGCAAGCAGCGACACAACAAGCTATGGCGTCAGCAGGCAGATAGCCATCTCCAGCAGCCCGGGGATGACACTGCAGAGCCCAATGACTTCTTGCCAGAGACCTTGGATGGTGCCCTGGAAACCAGGCTACCATGCTTGGATGATGCTGCCCAGCCCAGCCTCCCAGGAAGCCAGGCCCCAGGAGGAGCCTCTCTCCCCTGCTGTTTCCGAAGACTCTCAGACCCTCTTCTCTTCCCCGACCGTGACGACTCTGGTGGCTTGGTCCATGTGGAGGATCTTGAGAGAGATGCCCTGTTGGAGGAGGTGGCTCAGCCAATGGAAATGCACAAGTTGGCTCAGCATCCCCAGGAAAGTGCTGAGCTATGTGAGAAGGACGTGAAGAAGAAACTAGAGTTTGGGAGCCTTAAAGCCTACAGCGGCTCTTTGCCACAGATGGAGGAGATGGAGCGAGAGGAGGGCCCAAGAGCAGGGAGGTGGGGGCGGGCCTCCATTCAACGTGATAGAAGCCTGCTTGACCAAGAAAACTTAAATAATAACAACAGCAAGAGGAGCTGTCCAGATGATTTTGAGGTAGGCACAGGAACCGTGTCGGGGAGCAGCACCCCACACCACAGAGCAGCCCCTTCCTGGCTGGCTCTACTACACTGCGATTCTCACCCCACCCCCACCCGCGGATGGGCATTATTTCAGAGGGTGACTGCTCTATGACTGAGAGTGTAGCATGTGCCCAGCCAGTGGATCTGGGATCTGTAGTGAATAACCAAGTCTTGCTAGTGGATCTGGGATCTGTAGTGAATAACCAAGTCTTGCTAGTGGATCTGGTATCTCTAGTGAATAACCAAGTCTTGCTCTTCACCCCTCCCATCTAGGGCAGGGCTTCCACCTCAGATCATCACCCTAGTTCACCCTGTATCAATAGAAGGCTGTTACTGATTCACCTCACTGTGCCCTCCACAGCCACCCCCCGACACACACACACCCTGGGTGAGTTTGAAACAAATCCCAGGGGTATCATGTCATTCCTAAACGCTCCAATATGTGACATAACGATAGTACCTTCCCACCTTGAAGACCTGGGCTTCTGTCACATGCTAGTACTAAGCTCTGCATTCCTTGGAGCCTCCATTGAGCAGTGATCCTCAGCGAGCTTTAGCTTTGACCTCAAGCTGCTCCCAGACCCTGTCTCCAGCATCTGGCAATGGCCCAAGACCAGAGCTGGCTTTATGAAGGGCCAAGGGGGCTGCCTGCTTCTGGGCTCCCCTCCTGAACTCACCAAGGTCTGGGGCCTGGAGCTTTATGCCTGTTGGCCATCCCTGTCATCTCACAAATAGTGAAGCCTCTCAGTGGGGACACTGAAAGGGAAAGCTGGTTTGTAATGACTATTGCACTACAATGCTAAAACAAAACAACAGCAACAATAAAAAAACACCACTTGGAGGTTTATCTGCTGACCTTGAAGCCATGAAATGTGTTCCAGATCAGAGAGGAACTATGTGCTTCCCCAACTCCCCACCACTTCCCTCAGAGAGGAGGACAGATGACATAAAAACACTTTGTCTAGGACAGTGGTACCTTAGTCCCACTGGCATGACTGTGAGTCATCAAATGGTGACCAGGAGAGCAGCTTAGGAGGGGTCAGCAAAGGACTCGGCCTGCCGGGACCCATCAGAACTAGACCTAGAGACAAGCAGCCATTTGTGCGCCCTGCTCCTTTTGTTAACCACAGTATACCAAGCTAGTGTGGGGTCCTGCTGTGTGCCACTTAGCTCCACATGTGCAGTTGTATGGGGCAGATAGAGGACAAACACTTGAGAGTATAACAGAGGACAGAGCTAGACTGGGGCAGTAGCAAGTCATCATCCATGGCCTGAGTAACTTCTAGGGACAGGCTGAGAAGTAGTAGCTATACAAAGCCAAGGCCTTCTGGGTGGAGAGAACTTGCTGTGTGAGGAACAGGAGCTGCACGCCATGGTAGGTAGGGGGCATTGATGAAAGGTACAGTCTGAAAGTGGCCAAGGCCTCCCTGGCATGTTGGTAGGGCTGGGTGCAGTGTCCTGGGGACACTGAGAAGCATAGGACTATAAACAGGGATAAGTGACAAGCCAGAGACTGGGATCCTGAGGTGACATGAGCTCAGAGCACGAGGCTTGGAGAGGATACTCTTATAAGGAGGCTTGGGAGCCAAACCCTGTTTCCATGCTCCTGAGCCTGAACACTACTCCTCCCTCTGCCTGGTCAGCACCTGCTTATTCCAGACACGTCTCTTCCTCTGAGGCCCCTTCTCCATGGATACTTGGCCTGCTATCCTTGGCACTTTTACCATGTTTGTGGTGTAACCCCACCCTTTACAGTAGGCATCCTTTGGGCCAGAGCAAGCACTGTGTCTTGAGTAAAGGGCTCTGCAAGGTGCTCTCCAGCCCCCACCATGGTCAGTTTTAATATATGTTTGAGAAGATGCAAACATGTAGGACTTCAGTTAGAACTTTGGAAAAGGTTCTAGGTCAAGAATTAGGACGTTCTGAAGGGTACTTGTTGGGTAGAACAAAAGGCCTACTGGTAGACCCAGGTTGCCTGACTGAGAAGTCTCCCAAAGATCCCTCCACCACAGACCCACCTATACCTGCTCCATGGCCTCCAGTGTTGGACAGTCATAGATGTACTATCTTTAGAGACTGGAGTCAGCTATAGAGTGGTATTAACCTCTTGTGATTCAGGGGTGGGATGGTGGTGACCCAAGCTCCCCCTGTAGAGAATCATGAGGAACTTACCACCCTGTCTTCCAGAAGGCTTTCCCTCATACTAACTATGGAGTCTCACAGCCAGACAACTGGGAAAGAGCTAGCTCTCTTAGCTCCCCGTGTCCTCCTTGCCTCCAGCTCTGTTGATTGGTAGGTGAGCAGGTGTAGGATTGCCCTGGCTGGCAGAAGGGCAAAGAGGGAAAAGTACATGTCCCATTCACTGATGCCCCTCATGAACAAAAGGCAGGTATTGTCCCTCGGAGAGAGCAGTGTAAACGTGTTTTCTATTGGCATAAGTGCCCCCACCCCTGCCGGCCTGGCTCCTATTGGGGCCTGTAGGCACCCATGTTTGAGTCTGTGAGATGACCCCAAACCAAAACCATCTCTGCCTCTTCAACCTCCCTTGGCAACCATGGCAAGCTGATGGTTCCCAGCCTCTTTGCATTGGAGAGGAAGGGCTCCACTTTCAGGCTGCAGATACCCCTGGTATAAATTCCTCCTGCCGAGCAGAGCCGCCTTTCTATGTTCTGGTCTCCCAGGGCCATGAGCTACCTGCTTTTCACAATGGACCACAGCCATCCAGCATCCAGGCAGTGGGGCAGATTGGAAAAGAAGGTCCTAAGAGACCTCACCTCAGCCTTGTGGCTAAAGGTTTTCCCAGGATGTTTTAGCTTCTCAAAAGTTGAATAAGATGGTTAGGGATGTTCTGTGTAATACACACACACACACACACACACAAAAAAAAAAAAGCCAAAACATTAAAAAAAGAATTATATTTGAGGAGAAAGCATAAAAATTTACGTCATGCTAATTAGTAGAGGTGATAAACATTACCATTGAAATCTACCTGATGACTTTACAGACATACAGGCGCCAAGGATCCAAGTGCAACCGATTATGACTAGTAATAATCAGATACATACAGATGAGATACGCATGGGCCAACATCTCAGTGTTATTAGCAAAAACAATGAGTCTTTCTGTAAGAAACAGTATATATTAAAATGAAAGGCAGATCTTTTTTAAAGGTTAAAAACTCATTCAATTTTATGTCTTAAAGGGTTTACAGTGAGTTCAATATTGTATAACTGTATTAATTCAACAGCAAAGCTAAAAATTTTATAGCCACTTTTAAAAGAGACGTATCTTTGCTCTGGAAACTGTTATTGGCTATGTTAAAGCTGTAATGAAATGCTTCTTCTAAAAAAACTGAAAAAATATATTTTAATATCTTCGACCTGTCTAACCACAATTATTCATGATGCTCTAGGTTCCAAGAGATTTCTCCTCCTGACCTAAATCAAAGGAAAGCACTGCTCCTATAGTGTGACCAGCCCCAACCACATCCTGCCCACAGGCGCCCTTTGCTCTTCTGGTCTTCCCTAGCCTTCACTGTCTCACCGTGTGCTGTTCTCTTGCAGCCTGATGCTGTGTTTGGAATCCTTAATAAAGTGAAGCCTTCCTATAAATCCTGTGCCGACTGCATGTACCCCACAGCTGGTGGGGCTCCTGAGGCATTCACAGAGCAACATGAGGACCCCAGTGCTCCTGCCATCTGCACCCAGCCAGCCTTCCTGCCCCACATCACATCTTCCCCTATGGCCCACGCTAGCTGCCGGTCCCGAGCTGCCGAGAGGCCAGCCTCTGGCCCAGCCAACACCCCCTCATTGCTCCTATCATCAGGCTCAAGGAAGTCAGATACCAGTGGCACTGGGGCTGGGGCTGGCCCAGACCCAACAACAAGCTTTCCAGAACCTTCGAGAGAAACCCCAAAAGTCCTTCCTAAGTCCCTCTTGTTGAAGAATTCTTACTGTGATAAGAACCCAACCATCATGGAACTGGTGAAGGACGAATCATCAACTAAGAAAGAGCCAAAGCCAGCTAAGGACCTAAGGCTTCTGTTCAGTTCAGAGTCTGAGAAACCAACCACCAACAGCTACTTGATGCAACACCAGGAGTCCATCATCCAGCTGCAGAAGGCAGGCCTGGTCCGCAAGCACACCAAAGAGCTGGAGAGGCTAAAGAGCCTGCCCACAGACACAGCATCTGCCTGCAGGGACAGTGCCACCAGCACGCTGGAGGCCAGCATCCCTGAGGAGGGCCAGGAACTGGCTGCCGCTCAGGAACCAGGACACCCAGCCCTTCATAGCCAAGCTGGGGCTGAGGAGAAACCACTAGAAGGAGCCCCACTGAAGAGTCCCACTCCCATCTTCTACCGCCTGGATCACACCAGTAACTTCTCTAAAGACTTTCTGAAGACTATCTGTTATACCCCCACCTCTTCTTCCATGAGCTCCAACCTGACCCGAAGCTCCAGCAGTGACAGTATCCATAGCATCCGTGGGAAGCCAGGGCTGGTGAAGCAGCGAACACAGGAGATTGAGACACGCCTCAGGTTGGCAGGCCTCACCGTCTCATCCCCACTGAAGCGTTCCCACTCTCTCGCCAAGCTTGGGAGCCTCAACTTCTCCACAGAAGACCTGTCTAGTGAGGCTGAGGCATCCACCGTTGCTGACTCCCAGGATGCCAGGTGGCGTGAGTCTTCCTTCTTGCACGAAGTCCAGGCCACTCCAAGGAACTCCACCGCAGCCTCCAAACTGTCAGGAAAGTCTGCCCCAGAAAACTTGAAAAGCCCATCGCAGGTGAGCAAAAGCTGAACAGCCTTTTGCTAGAATGGGACCAGTATTTTCGTACTGTCCTTTCTTGAGTCTTCATTACAGATTCTGATCCACCCCCCTACATCTTGATTTGTGTTAAACAATTGGCATCATCCAAGCTTTCCCCCTCTTGCCACAGAAAAGTAAACAAAGGAATTTGCAGCACAACGAGAAGAGGTATATGGCCTGGGCGACTCGGAAGCTGTCAGCCAGGAGACAGAAAACTCTGACCCACAAGTCCTGTCTTGGGAAAGAATCATGTTCAGATATGCACACATAGGCTGTGGCTGGAGCTTAGTTGGTATAGAATGTTTGCCTACAATGCCCTTTCCTTGATCCTCAGCATCCTATAAAACCGGGTATGGCCATGCACACTTGTAATCCCAATACTTGAGAGGTGGAGGCAGGAAGATTGGAAGTTAAAGGTCATGCACGGCTACATCAGGAGTTTGAGGCCAGCCTGGGGGCAGCGGGGATATATATGCATATCCAGAATATTTCATTTGCAACATGTAAAAGAAGAGTAATGGTATGACGTTGCTGCAGCTCACCTTCTAGCTCATTCTAGCCCTTGCCAGAAGACTCAGATGACAATATAATTCCTACCTCTGTTCTTGCTGTGCTTTTTATTTTTAAAAATACAGTAATGACCAAGGCTCATTCCAGGGAATAATACTGTGTCAGAAAAGGTTTTTCCAAGAGAATTTTTTTTCAGTTGGGACCCAGAAGTGTTAAAACTGAACTTGATCGTCCCAAGCACTGCTAAGAGACGTTATCTGAGTGACGGGCATCTGTATGAAGTCCCCTGTCCTGGTTCTGGGGTTGTGCTGGATGGTGGCTTGAGCTGGCAGTGGGGTGTGTGATGTTCTCAGTTGCTCCCTCTGAAGTGTACATCACCTGGTCGCTCAAGTGTTGCGGAGCTGATTCTGCTGCTAACGAGGCATGGTTGTGTTTAGGGTTTGGACACACTGCTATACCCATGAGGCTGTGGGTCTGGGGTGGGTCATCCTACTAGGAGGCCCTGACTCTCAGGCTCATTAGGTGTCATCTAATATAATTAGGCAAGAGAAAATGGCGTCATCACCATTGAGATACTGTTGTGGGTCCCTCTCCATATGTAACTTCTCTGAAGGGAGTAAGTCTGTTGAAAAGCTTCACAAATGTTTACAGTTGTCCTTTCCTGTGGGGAGAATAGTACTTCCTGTCAGGAAAGTACTGTTTTCCTGTTTCTCCAGCTCTCCCCAGGAGTAGTGATGGGACTAAGGAGGCTGCAGCCCACCCAAATGTTAGCTCTAGGTGGCACCTTGAAGAATCAGGTCAGTTCAATGCAGCAGGTGGCCCTGGGCTCTGGGTTCCAATCAAGTGGCTTGTCTGGTGTCCCATCAAGACAAGAATGCTAAAAAATGTTTTGAAGAGAGACAAGCATCTTGGTAGAAATGCAGAAGGGCTTAATTTGGGGGTTGGAAAACTGGAGTGTGCAGTTCTCAGGAGCTAAGAGTGGCTGTTACTTTTTACTTCTATGTTTTTTAGGTTTTTGAGGGAGGATCTCATTGTATAGTCCAGGCTGACCTCAAACTCACATCTGTCCTCCTGCCTCAGCCTCTCACATGCTGAGATTATAGGTATCACCCACCATGCCTGACGTAGCTGTTACATTTTTTTAAAGAGTTTGTCAAAACAATAAATTAAGTCAGGAATGGTGGCACAGGCTTATAATCCTTGGACTCCAGAGAATGAGGCAGGACCATCATGAATTAAATGCCAATCTGGGCCACATAGCAAGTTTCAGGCCAGCCTCGGCTACATAGTGAGACTCTACCTCAAAAACAATAAATAATCAACCCTGACAGAGACTGTGTTGCCTGCCTTAGATATTTACTCTTGGGCCATTTATAGACTGTTTGCTGACCCTGGTTTTATCTGACACTCCAGGGCTGCTTATGGCCCTGCAGGAAGAAACGGAATATCCGAAGACGTCCTCTGCCTCTTTGATTCCACAGGCCAATCCCCACCCTCTTCATGCCCCAGACTTCTCCAGCCCGCCCACTTACCTCTTGTGCTGATGGAGTCCCTATGTAGAAGTCCGTAGCTCCATCCTGCACTCAACTCAGTCAGCCAGACAGCTCAGCAAGACCACAAAGCCTTCGGGGATTGGCCGTGCTCTGGAAGCAAGTGGTTGGGGTGGTCATCCCACACTGCTCAGAATAGGGTCCCAAAACGGCCCTCCTGGAAAACACCCAAATGTCTTCAGGAACAAGGCTAGCTTTTACTTCAGCTCATGTAGGGTTTTTGTGAACACCCTCTCCCCCAGGAACTTTTCTCCTTGGCATGATTTTTTAAAATACGTATGTTATTTTATGGGGATTTGTTTTCCCACTAGTGTCAATTGTAATCACCCTAAAAGGTGATTATCCTCCTACTCCAGAAACCCTATGGGTTTTCCCTGCTCTCCCTCAGCCAACAAAAGCATACTTTGAAAAAAAAAAAAACACAAGCCAAGCTTAACATATATTGCCAGGTTCAATTTCCATGGTAGATCAATTTTTGTGTCAAAATAATCCCTTAAATTTGGCGATGGTAGGCCCATGCTGGTTTTTAACATGTCCGTGAGAGTGGTTTCGAAAACTGTGAGATGATTTTGAAAACTTTAATTCTGAAAGCCATAATTTGTCTTGTTCCATTAAGAGTAGGGATTGGAGGGTTATAAACACGTGGGTCTTTGGCATCTGGCAAACTAACCCATTCATTTTAGAAGTATAGCTGGTCTATCAACAGACCAGGGCACTGCTCTTTACATCATCGGAGCAAAATAAAGTGCCCTGGCTTGATAGTTTACACTGTGGCCTGGAGGACAGGAGCTGTCTGTAAACATGGTAAACCGCTATTTAATTTAAAGTGTTCTATTAACTACATGAAAGCTTTCTGCCAGGCTAGGGCACCTTGGCAATGGCCAACTGCATACTGTCTGGTCCAAAGTTTACTCCAAGGCCAAGCATGGTGGCACATGCCTCTTATCCCAGCTCTTAGGAGGGCAAAGGCAGGGGATATCTGTGAATTCAAGGCCAGCCATGGCTGTGTAGTAAGACTTTTTGTCTCAAAAAAAAAATTGCTCTATGAGACGCTCCATGCTTGGCTGTTGCTTTGTATGTAGTCGTAACCAATTAGGGAGATGTAAGTGGTACAAGAGAGAGGTAAGCAGGGGTTCATGCTGTGCAAGTCACTGAGTTTGGTGACCACCATTTCATTGAATGCCTGTATTGAGTGGAGAGCTGAGGGCCTTTTCTGATCCACTTGATGGCCGTGTACTCGGCGGCTCTTCATCCTTCTGCTCACCTGCACTCACGTGGTCTGCCACAGCCCTGAACTGTGCAGCGCATCATCTTGCATGACACAGGTCTTGTCAGGCTTCATGACGTGCAAGGGAGATAGATACTGATCAGAGGGGAAAAGCCAGGCTGCCCCAGGGATCAAAATTCCAGCGACAACTTCATGCATTCTCAGAGCTGTTTCCGGACCTTCTAACAAGGCCCTGGTCGCATGAGCTTCCTAAGACCAGGTTTCTTTCTGTGCATCCTTTTCACCCTTGTTCACAGTGTGGAGACCCCTGCCAACCTTACACAGCTTATTTCTGTGGCTCGGCCATGTAGATTACTCACAAGTGCCCAGGCAGCAGCACTGCCCTAGCCCCCTCTGCTCCCTTTGTTCCAGAGCTTTCTCCAGCTGAAGATCGGCCACGCTATTCTAAAGCCCCCTTTTTTTTCTCCCCTAGAGAAACCCCAAGAGTGCTGCAGGATAGAGCCAAGGTTAGAAAGAATAGACCTTGAAAGCTACCCTGAGCTCTGGGCACTTGTCTCAAGGCCTATCCTGGAAGGCTTATGGACCCCCCTACTCCCCAGGAACCATTTCTCCCTAGCAAGAGCAGATACTATGCCATTTAGTTGGCTGGACATTTAGCAGGGCTCTCCAGAAACACAGAAAACTCCATCAGGGGAAGGCCTGTGGCAAGAGAACCAGGTGGCTCCAAAGCTTGGTGACATCTCACCAGCATGACAGGTTCACCTGTCCTGGTCCCTACCTCCAAGTTCCTGCTGATGATGAAGGTCAAATGAAGGCCATTGATTTACCCTTGTCCACAGCCACTTGTTTTGCTGTGTCAAAGTGTAAGCATCCACTCGGTCTGCATATGTGTATATATGTGCATATATCCTGTATATGCACTGTATATTGTATACTACCTGACCAAACTATGGTGTAGATCATTTCTCTCATTCACACACATGCTGTGTCCCTAAGCTCTGTAGTGAAATCGCCGTTGACCATTGACAATGATGCTGCCCAGGGCCATTTGGAGATGACCACCTCAGCATTCCCTTTTGCAGTAGGCGCCACAGCCCCATCCTTCAGTCACTGTCTTGAACAGGAGTCCTCCTACCAGCACGCAGCTTCTGCTGCCCTTGGTATGGGCCTTGCTGCATGCGAAGATAGCTGCTTCCTCCTTCCTATACTGTAATTATTGTTTTACAATTGAGTGCCTTAATAATAGTTTACAAATACTATGTATTTATGTGGAAAACTTCACCTTTCATCTTTTGTGCTTGGGTACTTTATCTCTCCCTGGTGGCTGGTGGAGGACTTGAGCTTGTCCTACCCCGCTTGTGTTTATTCTGCTATGCAGTTTTCATTGTGTATTCGTGACTACTCCACAGAGCCTGCTTTTAGAAATGGCACTGTGAGTTCCTGCAGGCCAGGCTGGCGTTGGTGAACACTGTGGCCCATGTTAACCAATGAAGGATGCGATTTGGTTTGCTAGGCGGCTGGGGGATGGCGCAGGCCCGGCACCCCCTGAACCAAACCCCAGAATCCCTACACAGTTGCACTCTTGTTTAATAGAGGTTTATTACCACGCTAGTTCACCCTTTCACACCCCACCTTCCTCTCTGTTAGTGTCCTGAGCTCTTTTCAACAAATTTTAGGTACAGCTCACCCTGTCGGGAGCCGCACCAGACGAGTTCTTTGCCTTTCAGAAGCTGCCACTGGGTTCCCGTATGTTGCATTACAATATTGATGGGTTTTTTAATTGTTTTTTTCTTCTTGTTTTTTTTATATTATATATTTAAAGGCAGTATCTTTTGTACTGTGAATTTACAGTAGAAGATGCATAATGCACTTTTTTTACTTCTGTTGGTGTGTAACTGTATATAGTCTGTGTGCTTCTTGTGATGAAAATAAACATTTTCTTTATAAATGCTGTGACTTTGCCTGTGTACTAAAGGAATCTACCTCTATAGCCTTGCAAAGACGTCCAGTGCACCCTTCATTTACTGTCATTACCATGGGCAGTCTTTGCTTTAGGATTTATTTTTACTGTGTATAAAATTTTTACTCGAGGTCGGAGGAGTCACCTGAAGATTCCTTGGAGCTGGAGTTACTCAACTCCAGTCCCCATGATAGAGCAGCAGGTCTTCTTAACCGCTGAACTGTCTCCCCACTCTACTGAGGTGTGAGGCTGTGCTCAAAAGCCAAGGAGTTAGATGAAGAGACAAACCAGGCTTTTAAGCCCAGCATTCAGGAGGCAGAAGTAGGCAGATCTCTGTGAGTTCTAGGCCAGCCTGGTCTACATAGAGAGTTCCATGCCAGCTGGGGCTACAGGGAGACCCTGTCTCAAAAAGACTGAAAAATAAAAATAAAATAGATGAGACAACCAGCACCGCATTGCTGGCTCTACCCAGGTCTCTGTCCCTTCTGATTGTGTCAGGGAGGAAGCACACACCCACTTGTGACCAGCCATTTATCCAAGAAAATCTTCTGTTCTAGGATGGAATTGGACCTTGCTTGGTTTCTCTCGGTACAAGTAGCAAACAGCCAGGAGTCGGCTCTGGAGAACCTCTTCAACTAAGCTGTTGCTGAGCTGAGGAGGTCGTACCCCCTGCTCTCCCACTCGAGGAGGCTTTTGATAGAGCTGTACTTGGTTCCATCTCTGTCAAAATACCTTCTTAAAGGAATAACGAAGTGTGGTAGCACACACCTGTAATCCCTGTACTTGGGAAGCTGAGGCAAGACGATGGCTATGATTTCAAAGCCTACCCTGGGCTACATGGTGAGTTTGAGGCCAGACAGAACTATGTAGCAAGACCCTGTCTCAAAAAGACCAAACGGCCAGCAAGCTGGCTCCATGGATAAAAGCTCTTGCCATGCAAGCTCAACAACCTGAGTTTGATCCCTAGAACCTCCGGTGGAAGGAGAGAACGGACTTCTGACTTCCACACGTGTACCATGATAGATGCACACCAGCACTCACGTGCACATTCATGATAATAGATGCAAATTTAAATATTTTTGAAGTCTTGAGGAAAACAAGTTTTCAGTTCCTGGTTGCAGAGTTCATAGACCTTGACTTCTTAGTTCTGTTGCATTTTGTGCCAAGGCAGCGCATCATGGTAGAGGAAACTTAGCTCATGGTGACTGGAAAACAAATGAGCTGTAGGAAGGAACCAGTATGGTTCCCAATATCCCCTTGAAGGCCCAGCCCAGTTCAGTGATCTGTTGTCCTTCCACCAGGCCCCACCTAAAGTTTCTGTCACCCCCCAATAACACCATCAGCTATGACAGCCTTCAATGTATGGCCTCTGGGGGACACTTAAAATCCAAAACATAACTCCTGGTGAGTGAGGAAGCCAGTTGCCTACATCTTGACATCTGGGCACCCTGGAGTTTACTGTTTCTGCTGTGCAATCAGGAAGAGTCAAGAGGACTCCCTTCCTCCCTAACCCACTGTCCTAGTTTGTTAATCTTCATTGCTATGACAAAACATTGACCACTACCAACTTGGGGAAGAAAAGGTTTATTTATCTTACATCTCCCAGGTCACAGTTCATCAGGGAGCCCAAGGTAGGAAGGAACTCAGGGCAGGAACCTGGAGGAAGGAGCTGGATGGAGCACAGGCCATGGAGGAATGCTGCTTACTGGCTTGCTCCCCTGACCCCTGCTCAGCCTGCTTTCTTATGCAACACAGGCCCACCTGCCCAAGGATAGCACCACCCACAGTGGGCTGGGCCCTCCCATATCACTCATCAAGAAGATGCCTATACAGGCCAGTCCAATAAAGGCAATTCCCCAACTGAGTCATGTGTGTCAAGTTGACACTAGAGCTATCCAGCACACCCACCTTTGGGTGCAACATCAGTTCTTTAATTTCATGGGGAAGACCTTTTAGTCTCATGATTCCACTCCAGTTTCTAGGTAAGCTGGACACAAAGAATTTGATGAACTCTGTGTCCTATATATATGGGCAGGACAGTAAGTCCAGAGCCCACAGATGCAGGAAGTACTTTTTCAGTTTATCTCGACTCTCCATCTCTCAAATGGACTCACAAGAGACTGGTGAATAAACCGGTGTAAGTTTATTACCTCACAACAGTTATAATAATAAAGCAGCCAAATTAGCAGCCACGATAAATAAACCCAGGAAGCCAAAGTTGGCTAGAAATTAAATGAATTCAAAGCAAAAGGTTAGCCAGACACAGGTAGTACACACCTGTAATCTCAGCATTTAGGGAGTAGAAGCAGGAGGATCAGGAGTTGAGGATCATCCTTGGCTATATAGCAAGTTTGAGGCCAGCCAAGACTGCATGAGGTCTTGTTTCCAAAAGAAAAGAAAATCAGTGCTGGAGCTAGGCATGGTAGCTCACACCTGTAATCCCAGTACTTGAGTGGCTGAGACAGGAGGATTGCTCTGAGATTCAGGCTAGTCTGGGCTACATGGCAAGACCCTGTCTCAAAAAAAAAAAGTTAGGGCTGGGATCAGTAGTAGAGAACTCACCTAGTATGTGCAAGGCCCTGGGTTCAATCCCCAGCACTGATAAAGAAAAGGGAAGGGAGGAAGAGAAAAAAGAGAGAGAGAGATCAATGGTATGAATCTAATAGCATTATCAAGCTATAACAACCCTCTGTGAGATGAGCTTGTAATTAATTTATTTATTTGTACTGTATGTGTATGAATGTTTTGCCTGCATGTACACAAGTGCACAGTGAATGCAATGCCCAAGAAGGCCAGCAGAGACAGTTGGATCCCCCAGAACTAGAGTTACGGACAGTTATTAGCCCATTATGTGGATGCTGGTAATGCAGCCCTGGTCCTCTGCAAGAGCAACCAGTGCTCTTAACCACTGAACCATCTCTCCAGCCTATAAGATGTTTCTTAAACAGATGGCTCCATGATCCAACCTCTTCCCTGGCAAGACTGGAGATAACAACCTAGGCTCCACACCTCTCAGGGCTCCTTCCATGAATCAGCAAAGGGATCAGGCCCAGCAATCTGTACATAGCTCATGATGCTCAAAGAATTCTGATTGCTAGTTTCAAAACCTTTGAAATAAGAGTGTGATGCAATTGAGAAGACTTACACCTCACCAGTTACAACTACATTCCACACATGCTTTCTGAGACAATACCCATATCCTCCTAACAGAGTATGGGTGATCTCCAGACTCAAGACTCATCAGGTACTTAGAAGCTCCAAGCCCTAGGAGAAGGTCTCTAGAGCTGGCTGCATTTACCTTGATTTAACTTCAGAGTAACCATCCCAGGGTTGGGTGTGATCCAGGTGTGGGTGATTTTGCCAGGAAGAGCTACATACCTGTTTAAGCCTGAGATACTTCCAAGATACTTGGAAGACATTCCAGAAGGCAGAGCACCACAAATGACTTGGTATTTCATAAAGGTTCACATACTATTGTAGGGAAACTCTCTAAAGGAGATAGCCCACCAACAATGCACAAAGTGAGCCCTGTCCAGAAAACAAAACCAACTCATCCTTGTACCCTAAAACTGTAAAATAGAACTGTTCATCATCCCTCAGTATCCTCGATACTCTCTATGGGTTGCCAGCCTGTAACCTCAGCATTCCTGAGGCTGGGGCAGGAGGATTGCAAATTCAAGACCAACCTGAGCTACATAGAGAGATCCTATTGCAAAACACAAGAGCTGATGATGTGGCTCAGTGGTGCATGCTTGCCTAGCATGTGCAAGGCCTTGGTTCGATCCCCAGTGCTGAAAAACCCACACACATCCTCCTACATAATTTAAACCCCCTCTAGATGATTTTTAATATTTGATACAACATAAAAGCTGTGTAAATAGCTGCTGTGCTGTATTGTCCAGGGAATACTGGCAAGAAAACAATCTATATGTATTTGGTGCGGGTGCATTCTTCCCACACATTTTCTGTTTGTGGGTGGTTGGACTTGCAGACATGGCAGCTGCAGATACAGAGAGCTGGACTGAACTTCTCATGTCTCTTTTCTGTGCTTAACCAAGGAATCCCATTGGATACAACCTTATTGGCATGGTCCTCTGTTTCTAGATGAAGAAACAGGCAGGCTGAGCAGAAGTAATTTGCCTATGGTTACATCTACTGAGAAGACTAAATAGGGTCTCTAGTCTCCTAAACTGAAGCCCTTCCCCAGCTATATCTCATAGTCCAAGATAGAAAGATGTAAGCCAGGCCAGGGGTCTCTCTCTCGCTCTCTCGCTTTCACTCTCTCTGATTTATTTTTATTACTTTTTAAAATATTTTATTTATTATTTTTATTTTATGTGTATATAGGTGCATGTTTATGTGTGAGTATATGCATGTGAGTTCAGGTACCTTGAGGGGCTAGAAGGTGTAGAATCCCATAGGAGCTGGAGTCTGGTAGTTGTGAGCTGCCTGATATGGTGTCTGGGAACTGAACTCGGTTCCTCTAGAAGAGCAAACAAGTGCTCTCTTTTAATTTTAATTTTTAAATTTTTTTTATGTGTACACGTGTATGTAAGTGCACCTGTGTCCCGCAATGCCGTGGAGACAGAAGAGGGTGTCAGATTCCCCCAGAACTGGAGTTAAGGACAGTTCGTAGCTGCCATGTGGGTGCTGGGAATTGAATCCAGGTCCTCTGCAAGAGCAGTCAGTGCTCTTAATCGCTGAGCCATCTCTTCAGCCCCTATTTTTATTACTTTTAATTGTGGGGGCGGCATGTGTACATGGGTTACAGGTGCTTGCAGAGGCCAGAGGCATCAGATGCCCCCTGGGGCTGAGCTTCAGGTGGTTGGGAGCCAACAACGTGCTGAGAACTAAACTCAGGTCCTTTGAAAGAGTAGTAAGCACTCCTACCACCAAGCTATCTTTCCTTGATCTCTCTTTAGGTATAAGAGAGAAGGACTAAAATGTAAGCCTTCAGCCCTGCAGAAATCAGCCCACTTCATGCTCTAT